AAAAATTTATTTTAGGCTTCAATACTTTAATATACTCATAATTAAAATATACCTAATGTTAAAAACTATAATTATTATTTTATAGATTTAAATTTATGGTGACAACGAGAAATTTAATTAATAAAAATCTGGCACACACCTACCATCCAAACTTTCTTGCACATTATTTATAAAATATATCTCTTTTTCAGAATGTATGAATTCAGTATATATACACAATACATCTATTTTTTTGAAAATCATACAGACTTTTTTTGTAAATCAATATACTAATGAGTAATATAGTATACGTCATATACCGAGTAATTCAACGCATGTCGTGTTCAATGTTCTCTCGTGTAATTGTAATTTATTTTATCTTTAAAGCTCAACTGAAACTGTACTAGTATCACCAGGTAAGTTGTTATAGAACTGAAAACCTATTTTAATATTGGATTAAACCATTGTCACTAATCATAATATATTACGGTCGAATGAGGTACTAACTTACTGACTGCATCATAGAACCATCCAAGTTGAAAAAACCCCACGCAGAAAAAGTTACTTTTGCATGAAGCAGATGTACAGAAAATTCCTTGAGCTTTGAAGAAAAGATTAGAAAATTATTTTAACTCGTTCAGAATCTGTACCTACCAAAATACGTACTTATTCACTTCCTTACCTCTTTTAAAATAACATTATTCAAGGTATTCCTAATTAAACGGTGTACAATGCTTCCAGTTCTATCTATCTACAGCAGAATTAATGCAAGACGTACATAATACCAAATTAGAAATCGATAAAAAAAAATTACAGCCAACTGATTCAATGGAATAAGAATTTACCTCTCGTATGATTTTCGTCACGTATCTCGAAAGAAATGTAGAAGAGTAAATGAAACTTGTAAGATAAAAGAAGTTATGGACATACTCTGCGACTGTAAAAATAGTTCTTCTTCCTATCAAGAGATGAACCAAAAAGTATGAGTATATAACTGCAGAAATAAACAAGGTGCCTATGCAGAACAAAACCGAAAATTCAAAGAATCCATTTACTTCTTGGCAAACTTCCAAAACAGAAGCATGCAAGTCCCGTATTGTTGACAACAGCCAAAGCTTTTTCACGTTTATTAACACTCCACCTCTAACTCCTATTTTAATTCCATTATCCACTGTAACTGTTTCGGTCAAGGTAAAAAGCACTTCGTTCAAGTTTTCAACCAAGTGAGAAATTACTATTAGTACCGATGTGTATTGGATGAGAAACAGAACTATTGTTAAATTCCTTGTTATACCACTGAATAAGTACAATAATTTATGATAGTAAAGTATACCCGTCACAAATAAAATTACATCAATGAGTGTAAAAAAAGCGAAGAGAAATGAAATGCGCAAAGATACATAGATAGTTTTTCGGTCATTATTCAACTGATACACAATCAACTTGTTTAATTCGTAGAGTTTTGTCAACAGATCAATTGCTTCTTTGTGGTGGAGTCTTTGGCATATGAGTATCACTGTCACAATAATAGTGCCGAACGAGAGCTCACAAACGTCGGCTAAGTAAAATAAATTTATTACTTTTTCGTATCTTTCAGTGTACAGTTCATAAGCTACGTATAAATTTCCAGCACAGATGATTACTATTATCAATAAATTATAGATGCGAGCAACGTACGAATCAACGAAACGTATGTCTTCTTGAAGTTTGTTCTTTCCAATTTTCCGATCAATTTTGATGGAAACAGTTGAAAGTCCAAATATATTGAAGACAAATAAAAGAATCTTTAGGAAAATTCGGTTACTTATTCTGAAGGAAGACATTTTTACCGCATTTTCTTAATGACAGTCTTGCATTTTTTTTTAAAATAAATATAGTTTAGAAGGAATGAATTATTTAAAGCACTTTACTGATAAAATTGAAGAAAAAAAATGTGAATTTTATTTCGAGTAATCAATTATCTACTATGTTTAAATAAGCGTTTCATGTAGATATCCGTTGGCTTGAAACTAATATTCGTTATTACTTCATGAAACTGTAATGGTGACCTTTATACATTAATCAGTCCAAACACATTACTCTATTGTTTTTAATTTATGAATTGGAGGAAATTTTGATCGCTACTTGCTTATTAATGATTTTTAGAATCACTAAAATTATCTAAAGTTATTTTTTTAACTACTGCTTTTCGCGGTCTTTAAAAAAAACTTGAATAAACCAATAAAGTTGTAATAGAATTTCAATTTTCAACTTTAATAGATCATGCAACACTTCATTTATAATTAAAAACATCCAATAATAATACTTAATTTAAAGCTCATTTCACCAATAACTATTTAATTTTACTTTAAGAGACTTTTATTTTTGGTTTAATGGTAGTAACCAAGCCAATAAATAGCAACAAAAATTTTTGTACATCAGTATAGAATTTATTCAAAAAAGTGAGTACAAATGCATGCAGCAGCTAATAGAAAAAATCAATATGAAAACACTGACAGTGAGTGATATACAGTTATTTTAAATTACAATTTATGTCTATTCTTTAAAATGCTTTCTTTACAAACTCATGAACAGATGTATTTAGAGATTGAGTTCATCCATTTTTTTCGTTTTAAAAAAAGAATGAATCGGTTAAGCCGTTATTCAGGTACTAACAGGAAACAGACGATTATTCAATAATATTAAAAGTAACTATTTAAAATGAAATTTTTTCATCACTATGTTGCTTTGAATCTAAGGCATCGTGGAGAATATTTTTTATTTTTTTTTTTATAAAACACTAATTTTCTTAAAGTTATTAATAGAATAAATTCTAATAAAAGTTTTTTTTTTTT